GTCCGAATTTTGAATAAAGAAAACAAGTTACCAAATGTTACATTTAATTACAGATTCAATCAACAATGTATTTTCCCTGATTATCTATGACTTCCTTCCATCTATTAACAAGCTTACTAATTCCATTACTGTAACATTCTTTTGGCTTTGATTCGAAGAACTCACAAATGTCAGTTTTAACCTCTTCCTGTGTTACAAAAGCTGTTTCTTCCAAATGATTCTTTAAGTTACGAAACAAATGGTAGTCTGAAGGAGCAAGATCGGGAGAATAAGGTGGATGAGGAATTTTCTCCCAACTAAGTTCTTCGATCTTTTGTAACGTGATTCTTGCCGTGTGGGATCGCGCATTGTCCTGATGAAAAATCACCTCTTTTCGATTCACTAGAGCAGGTCTTTTTTTCCTCAAAGCTTGATTCAAACGCTCTAATTGCTGACAGTCTATTTGAGCATTAATTGTTGCATTAGGTGGTAAGAATTCAAAGTTGATTATTCCTTGGCGATTCCACCAGATTGAAAGAAGGACCTTTTGCCCATGAAGTTCCCTTCTCGGCTGTGGCTGGGGTCCTTCCCCTTTACCAAGCCACTGTCTACGACGCTTAACATTTCAATAAAAGATCCATTTGTCGTCGCTAGTCACAAGTCTATCCAAAAAGGGTGAAACAAGTTGGCGAGAATGGAGAGAAGAGCAGATGTCAACTCGGGATTTGAGGTTGTTTTCAGACAATTCATGAGGCACCCATTTTCCAAGTTTAGGAACTTTTCCAAGTTGTTGAAGATGACTATGAACAGTTGTATGGTTTGAACTGAGAACCAATGCCAATTCCACAAATGATAAAGCAGGATTTTCTTCAAGGGCTGCTTCAAGTAGCTTTTCATCAAACTCAACTGGACGTCCGGTTCGATCTTCATCTTCAAAGGAGAAATCTCCACCTCTGAATTTTGCAAACCATCTTCTGCAAGTTCTTTCATTCACACATTCCTCTCCATAAACTGAGTGAATGTTTCTAGCCGCTTCGACTGCTGAGTTTCCTTTCTTGAACTCATAAAGCATTATGTGTCTCAAATGATTCTTGGGTACTTCCATGTTAGCAGGGTTTTAATCAAACAAAATTTAATTTTATTGTTCTCTGAAACAAAATTTGATCAGTTTAAATGCATCTAAACATAAAAAATAATGTTCAGCTCCATTAGACATCATAAAATACCCTTTAAATTTCGTTGATTTTAAGAAAAAGTTAAAATTCGGACAGAACTTATGGGATGACGTGATATTTATCTACTGATACCACTAGATTTCTCCTTGATATCACTATAACTCTGTTTCCCTATTGTAATAAAGTGAACAACAGAAACTAAAGAAAATGTTGTGATGCAGAGTGGATGTCCTGAAGAATTGCCACAAGATCACGAAAAACCATAGCCCACACTCAATGCAGAATATTTTCTGCCTACCCAAAAAGGAGACTTTCTGGGTTATTTTTTTCTGTTTTAATATTAAGCGTCTTCTGTTGAAGAATTCTGAATGCTTTTCGTCGATTAGAATCGTATTTCTTCTAGACATAAATGAAAGTGAACAGGCTCCATTCTCTACACAAACACTGAGCAGTTTTCGAACAAATACTTGCTGGAAAAATTGCGAATGTTTAAAATTATGATCCTTCTGGGAGACAGCAATGGACAAGGAAAATTTGTGATACATTGATTTATTCCATTCATTTCAAGTTTCATCAGATGTTTTACAATAATCTTTAACCAGTGTTACTTTAAGCCGAGTTTGATGTGAACTTGATGTAGGGAAGTAGGATGCGAAGGATAGAAAACTGTTAACCCTAAACTTGAAGAGGTTAATATTGTAGTGTTTATGAAACCTCTATCCGAAAGTTTGTACCACTACCTAGTAACTCTTCAGAAGATTTCTCCGGCTTACTTCAAATAAGTGTCCTATTTGGTTTCGATCCGAAAATAGACGAAACACTGTATTCTTTCGTTTGAAGTATAATATTCTCTCTCTCTCTCTCTCTCTCTCTCTCTCTCTCTCTCTCGCTCTCACACACACAATCAGTGTCATTATAAACAGATTTTCTGAAGCCAATTTGCGTCTTCGTTTTAGATATTTATCCATTACTTGACACTAGTATTGACAATTGGGTATATTAGTCTTTATTTGACATTCAGCATGGCTGATGCTACACTCCTGAGGAACAACACGCTGCGTCTTCTTGGTCTCATGCTTGCAACTGACTTGAAGTGAAGCGACTATATTGAATCAATAGCTGCATCTACTGCAAGGAAAGTTAGGTCACTGTATCGTGCCAGAACACTTAACTCGTCAGTATACAGCTTGCACATTTAGTATATGGTAAATATAACAGACAAACCAAAGGTTAGGAACAGGTTCTCTTAATGATGTCAAAGCGTTAAAATTTTCCGTCAGAAGTCAATGACTTCATTCCTTTGCGTTTATTTTAGCATTTCATTCAAAGCATGATAGGTTCCAAAACATGAGATTTAAACGATTAGAAATCTAGTGTTTTATTTCATTTCATTTTTCTTTTTATGTGCCGTGTCCTTTCAGGACGTAGCCGATCATTTATCTTTATTTCATGCAATGGATACTGTTGCTATATCTGGTCTGGCGTTTCTTCTGGTCATCTCGAGATTCTTGATAAAATCCAAAGAATGGTCTGTAACATAATCGATCCTGAACAGGCATCTCAAATTCAGTGAACATCTCATCGACATGACGTGACGTCCCTCTCTCTTTTTACAAATATTTTCTGACGAGCTCTTTTCCGCTGGTACACCGAATATATGTATTTAAGCGTGATGCCATGTAGGCATCTAGGTCCCACCCTTTTACTGTTGAAATAGGTAAATGCAACTGTCAATTCTACTCCAACAATTTATTTTCTCTCACTTCCTACTTGTAGAAATCTTTATCTTTCCCTTGCTTCCCCGATAACTATAACCTTCAAAGATTTAAATGCAACATCAATCGCTATCTTCTGTCCTCTGGAACCCCGTTCACATTTTCGTCTTTCCTCAAACCTCCTTATTTACAGCATCCTCAGTCACTTTTACCACCTTTAACGCCCGTCGTACTGGTAACATTACTGTTTTGCTTGGGTTGAAATTATTAAATATAAGACCATAAGCTTGTGATTTTGAAGCCTTGTGTCTTTTATATTTTAGTACTTAGCACAGAATGGAGTCGATATTGATGCTGGGTCCAATGATTTGATATTTTAGCATTGTTATGAGCTTTTATTTGATTTAGTATCGGAGGTGTTAAAATAAATAAAACCCTTACCAGGTATATAGGTCTAAAGATATATTCTGAAACCTTTTCAGTGGTTTTCATAAATTGATTATCCATTGGCGCTTAACTGATATAACTATTTAATGTTTGTTTGTTTTTTGTTTTTTGGGGGTTTTTTTCAACGATACAGGTATCGTTATTTCATGATTCGACGTCTAAATGTCGAACTGGCAATTATTAGATGCATGAGTTTAGGTAATTTCCTGATTATTAACCTGTAAATACAGATGAAAGAACCATACTATAATAACAGTAGTCTGAATGTATGATTCTCGAAGATAAACTACATTCCTTAGTTCCATTATTTCTAACAATATTACGGTTAGAGGACAATAAAAGAAGAATTAAGACATTGCATTTACATTTTTGAATAGCAAACATAACAGGGAAGCAAGAATCGAGAAGATTTCCTCAAGCTATGTGTGTGATAGAGGACACTTTTAATTACGAAGTTACTGTTATATCTAGCCATTTCATCTATAAAATGAGGAGGCCTTGGCGCTGATCTAGTACTACTCTTAAATATATTTTACAAGTCTAAAACAAAGTTCATCAGAACAATTAGCATGAAAACAGTTATAAAAAATGCAGAGGGAAACTACGTTACGTCCGAAGCCTAGATGCCAGGTTAGGACTAATATCATTGCTGATACTTTTTGGATTTTATCAAGAATCCATATATATATATATATATATATATATATATATATATATATATATATATATATATATATACACGTTCTTAGAAAAATTTCCTGGAATTAGAAGGTTATAACTATCACAGAAGTAATGTAGAAGACATGTCAGTAACTACCGTCTGGTGCAACTTTTTCCATATTTTACAAGAAATTCTTTAATCACGGCCTATTCATATCATTATAATTCAGCCATCAACATAGGTATTCTCTTCCTTGTTTTTCCTAGCGGACTCCTCAAGTTGAGCGCTTGAGAATATGAATAAAGAAACACTATTAATAAAAGAGAACAATTACAATTGATATTACATTAAAATTATTGAACATCAAAGTTGAATGCGAATCAAGAAGCCGACAGAGTTTCCCACAAGCGGAAATTGCGATAGAAGAAACATTTAGCATAGAACTAACTATTACATCTATCCATTACAAATATAAATTAATGAGACCTAATAGCTAATCTAGCACTCCGCTTAAATTTTAAAAAAATTCTTAGTACAATAGAAAAAATTAATTAAGACAATTACGATAAAAGCATTAATAGAAAAGGCACGGGGAAGCTCTGTTACTACGTTAGTAACTGTATCTGAGATGCCAGGTCAGGATCAATAATATTGCAGATACTCTTCGGATTTTATCAAGAATCTATAAATATATATATATATATAGAGAGAGAGAGAGAGAGCTTTATTTTATGTAATTAAAACGAAAATAAGGATAAAACTATCCTTTCAAAATACGAATTTTCTCCCATTCTATACGAGTGGTCTCCCATTCTACACATTTGTGTTACACGTTCCGTCTTTAGAGGGTTACAAATACAGTAAAAAAAACAAAAAAAACAATGCAGGAGGAATGCTCGAAACTACTATTTATCCGTTTGGTGCATCAGTTTCCACATTTTACAAGAAATTCTTTAATCACGAAGTATTCATAGCATCATAACTCAACAATCAACATAGATATTCTCTATATCTTTTTTTCTCACGACCATATCACGTTGAAACACCAGTCCCCGTACTATCACCGAAGTTAAGCAACGTTAAGCCTGCTCAGTGCCTAGATGGTTGACTGCTTGGAAATACCAGGAGCTGTAAGCTAGGATGTTCATGTGATGTAATGGATAATGGTTCGGAATTATTAATTGGAGAGCCAAGTTTTAATTCCAGTTGGTTTCGATATATTACCTTACGTGCAAATACTCTTGAAAAAAGTGCAAATCCACCTCTTCTACTTCTACCTGTTGGTTAACTAGTAAGACTTTTATCACTGAAACCATTATTATTAAAAAAAATGAAAAAAAGAAGCGTATTCCATCGTAAAAGAAGAATTTCTGTTTAGTTCATTGTTTCCTTGAAGAATCTTTCGCTGTCTTGAGCTTTTTGGAACTGATGACTAGATCCTGTAGCCGGCTGATTGAAAAGAAAAATGATCTAAACTTCAAAGATACCTAAAACATTACCTGAAAACTGTATACACCATTACGTTAGAAAATTTTGCAACAATCTGATACCGATCTCTATCTATAAAAGACAGGATGTGTGTGTGTGTGTGTGTGTGTGTGTGTGTGTGTGTGTGTGTGTGTGTGTGTGTGTGTGTGTGTGTGTAACGAATGCACGGCCGCAATTTTCGACGGATTTCCACCAAAATTTACATGCACATGCTCCAAGTTAGCGGAAGGCCAAGACCGACTTTGCATTTTCCAACTCCTATCGATAGTGGAAATAATCGATTTTTTTTCATGCTTCTACGGCAGTTTTCATGTAGTTTGCGGCCATTTTGTACTGACCAGAGGGAGAGCCTATAGCTGGCTGCCACGAATAAGCAGGAAGAATCTGTTGGCCAGCGTGAGAGCCAACAGCTGACTGACACGAATGTTAACTAGCAAAAAAAAAATCAATAATTGCATTCGTCACAAGTGGGAAAAATTTTAATCTGCATGGCACTTTACTCTAATTGGCTCATTCGCTTGTTTAAACTCAACATTGATTCTGATTCCGCAGAACTGGGTTGGGTGTGAAAAAGTATTTGTTGTTAACATTCTTTTTTCATTCGTTTCTTCCAGTTACGACTCCTTTTTTTAAAGCTGATTGTTTTGTGTTCATTTTGTTTAGTTCTTTTTTCGTAACAGATTTAATGTTTAGTATAGAGCTTAGAAAAAAATTTGCAGTGTGAGATAGGCAAGAAGTAAGGCATGTAGCAACATCAGCACGGCAAAGGGCATTCCTTTAAAGGCAAGGAAGGGCAAAAATATTTTAATTCAAGTGATAGCAATTGCAGTATGAGTCGTGCGATTTTTGAATCAAGCACGGGCAACGCCGGACCATGCTGCTAGTGTTAAATAAAAACGCTAAAAATACATCACATGAGAAGTTTGAAAAATAGTGGGGAAAAAGCAGGAAAAGAAAGAGGATATAAAATATAAAAAAAAAGAAACATTAAGCCAACGCTTCCTCAGTTGGAGACTGCAGCAACTAAAACTTATTGCATTGAAACTCATTTATCATTTGTACCTTCCATAGCTAAGGATGCTCTGTGTGAAGCTGAATAAATATGTAGCTGTGAATTTTTGCAAAGAAATTTACCTGTCGATATACGAGAATGAATGAGCGAAGAGCATGCGTTTATCGGGGCGGAATGTGGAATTAGGCGTGTCGAGATCAAATTCTCGCCGTTTTCGAACAAACACCCTTGTAAAGGTATGAATCCATGTCTTGTACTCACGGCTAGGTATTTCTAAAAAAACAGACAAAGCTCTCTAGATATTGTTTGCAACAACCTTAGGAGAAGGACAATTCGAAAACTAAAACCGACTGAGTGGCGGTCTAAAAAGCCGTTTAGTAAAGGCTTACTGACTACGGAAACCATTTGTAGCAACGCGCAGCGAGGGCGACTGTAACCCGATACTTTAACAAAGGAGTTGACAAGGTTAACATGCACGAAGACTGCTATCTCTACCTTAGAAACCAATCTAAGAGAAGGAAAGCACTCAGTGGTCCCATTCAGGCAGAGTTCAAAAGCGTGGCCATCATGGCCTCTGGGTGATAAACATTTTTCCACACTGCCATCACTTTCCCACTAAGAAAGCATTGCTCGACTCTCCCTATACTATTACTATTTTCATGGTAGATGAAGTGACATCCCTTTGTTACAGCAGTCCAAAATCTTCACAGATCCGAACACCCATGTTAGGTAGAAAGGGTCGACGTATTCATATTCGAATTTATACTACATTAATAAGAAGGATGTTACTCTCAGACCGCTTCTTGCCCAAGAAGTTCCACATGGTGCGAGAAATACCCAGAATGATGCTTCTTCAGTCTCTACGATATTAATCTCTTCATCTTTAATAGGATTAGATAGACTCGTCTATCGAGCGATACAAACTCCTTCCTTCATTGGAACAAGATTTCAGCTTTATCCCTTGTTTCCTCTTTAGGATTGGGTTTCGGGTTCCTTCTAAAGTTTGCTTCAACTCTATATGCCTAACCATCTCCGACTGAGCTCTGACTATTTTATGATGTAATGAATCTGTTGGCATCAGGTTTATAAAGGGTGTCAGAAAAGCTTGGCTCGGCTCGGGTTTAAGATTTCCGTGAAAATAGAACAGAATTTATCGTTTTTATAGCGATAAACGAAATAAAGACATTGTCCATACGTTCATATTGTCTGCTTCAAAAGTTCTTTTTATTTAGAACTACCTTTTATTCTTGTTCGAATTTTATTTAAAGATAAAAAAATGGCTTTGAACAATTGAATCTTGCGTGTCTTGGCGAGTATGATCCTTCTTCGCATCTTTTAGAACGGTGCTACAGAATCTCAAACAAAAACTGTGCCAAAAATCAGAACACACATCATTTGAGGACTTTCAACACGAGCAAAAGCTGAGATGGATATCATATGAAATTAATGAGATAATGAAGATGTTGATCTTCTACACTATATCAAATAAAAGGATAGGAAGGAAACATCCATCAGTTGTGGAAAGAGTAATAACAGCTACTGGACTTGGAAAGCGTATTTTCCTGAACATTGTTTTAAGAGAAAGAATTTATAATTTCAACCGAGTTCTAACAACACGATAAATAAATGCCGAATGTTTCCTTATAAAGGAAGCGGCTAATTTTACCATTACATACTGAAACCTTTTCTTCACTATTTACATTATTCTTACTATTGTCCTCATCTTTGTCGCCATATTTATTACAACGTTGTACGCTCCGGCCTTCTTCAGGTAGTTGGAATGTTGAACTGAACCCTTTATTTCGCTCACTGGGGTAGACTGTTCTAGTTCCGCGTGATATGTCTAATGGATATCAATTACCAGTTATCGCCTTTTAATTTCTCTCTGAAAGTTCTCCACTGCCGTAACCGGGTATTGAACTCACACTCATTGGGTCCTGTCACTGGATCTAACTAACGCCTTTATTCACTGTGCAATGTATCCTCAAGAACAGTGGATAAAGCGTTAGTTAGATCCAGTGATAGGACGCAAAGAGTGTGAGTTCAATACTCCTGTTATGGCAGTGGCGAACTTGGAAAGGAGAATTAACAGGTCCGAATAATGTAAATAGTATACATAATACCTCATCTCAGAAATAGAGACTGATACTGAAGAATGCCGGAGCGTACAACGGCCGAAACTTTGTAAGAAATATGGCGACAAAGATGAGGACAATAGTCCGAATAATGTAAATAGTGTACATAATACCTCATTTCAGAAATATAGACAGATACGGAAGAAGGCCGGATCGTAAAACGGCCGAAACGTTGTAATAAATATAGCGACACAGATGAGGAGAATAGTCCGAATAATATAAATAGTGTACAGAATACCTCATCCCAGAAATATAGACAGATACTGAAGAAGGCCGGAGCGTACAACGGTCGAAACGTTGTAATGAATATGGCGACAAAGATGAGGACAATAGTCCGAATAATGTAAATAGTGTACATAATACCTCATCTCAGATATATCAACAGATACTGAAGAAGGCCGGAGCGTACAACAGTTGAAACGTTGTAATGAATATGGCGACAAAGATGAGGACAATAGTCCGAATAATGTAAATAGTGTACATAATGCCTCATTTCAGAAATATAGACAGATACTGAAGAAGGTCGGAGCGTACAACGATCGAAACGTTGTAATGAATATGGCGACAAAGATGAGGAGAATAGTCCGAATAATGTAAATAGTGTTCATAATACCTCATCTCAGAAATATAGACAAATCCTTTTCTTTATCATTGCAGAGAATTTCAGTTAGAATTCTTAATGTTCTAAATTCGGTTTTGCGGGTAGAATAATTCTTATTGACAACAAAAATGAAAACGGTTTACTGAGATCGAAATCTGACCGGTACAGTTTCGTTCCCTTCGTTATATTGAATGTGTGAAAAGAATGAAACCCTCTCTACAGTATATAGCAGAACATATTTTTCTCTGTTGTATTTAATGGCCGCCTGTCAAAAATCTCTGTTTTCAAATGCTTGTAAATAATAGAGCTGACTGTGGCTTCTAGCCTTGGTAGATAAACCAATCTACTAAAAGGAAGATTCTGAATTCAAGACCAACCAGGGATCTTTACCTAGATACACACCAAATGCTGCTTAGGAACTCGTGGTCATGATTGTAACATTCTGTATTAATTGTGGTATAAATTTAGGAACGTTACGTCAGAATGACTAGCGAGATGCATAATTACTGGTGAATTTTAGTTAAGCCCTAATAAAATATCATCTATAAAATGAACGTTGAGCTGCTGTGAAGTGATTTCGAACGTGTTACATCCGCTCGATTTTCCGCGTAGATAGTAATGCGTTAAATCGGAATTTCATTGATGACCGTTTAATGAGATGCCCTTAAACACAAAATGTTGTTAAATCTGCGAAATCGAAATAAATTATCTGGAAACGAGGAATTGGGGAGAAAGAATCTATTTCTTACCATTTTCTCCTGATCGTTACTGAAATATTATTTCAATAATTAAGGAAAAAAATACAAAAAAAAAAAAAAACAGAGAAGAGAAGGCAAGGTTTTGCGGCGAATTGGCCATCAGAATATTTCCCCTTCCCTTTTAACTTATTAATCTATCGTTTTTCATCTTCGAAAAACATTATACGCTAAAAAAAAAAGAAAAAAAAATACAACAAAAAGAACCCCCTCCACAAAAATAAAGCAAAAAAAAAACGATTTAATCGGAGAAGAATGTCGATTCTATTAACGCGTAGAAGATTCTATAACAAAAAAAAACAAAAACAAAAAAACAGAAAAAAAAAAAAAAAAAAACAAAAGAACCCCCCGAAAAAAAAAAACAGAAAAAAAAAAAAAAAAAAAAAACGATTTAATCAGCAAAGAATGTCGGTTCTGTTAACACGTAGAAGATTTTATAAAAAAAAAATCAAAAGAAAAAAAAACAAAAACAAACCCAAAAACGCAATTACCTCCACGAAATACATTTGCAGGCAAAGTGATTTAGCTTTGGAGGACAGAACACACTAGTATTTACAATGTAAATTTCCTTTATTGTCATTAACAAACACAAACGTAGCAACTATGCTACTGACAGGCAGGCTAGGAGTATAGATTCGAACAATGCAAGTGTGACCCTGTGTTAAGTTTTTTTTTTTTTTTTTTTTCAACGATCGTAATGACAGAAACGAAGTCACCAGCTGAGGGAAAGGGAAGTCCCTGTGAAAAGTAGCAAGCAGCCCTACGATAAAAGAAAGCCAGGAGAGAGAATAAACGATAGATAACCGTGGATTTTAAGTCAGAAAATTATCATTGATAACTCTCTCCACCAATTTGCAGATCCTAGTTGGTATATTCTTAATACTTGACATGCAAATATAGTGTATCCATAAAATTCGTGTGCACATTAAAAAAATTATAACCTTATTTGTATTTACGATAGAAAGAATTAGTAAAAAGGATTAGAAAGAAGCAAATTGTGGCACCATGCATACCTTACGAGCTGAGAGAAATATTCATAGATATATGATTTGTTTTTTACGGTTTATCAACCATTTAATAATTATTTAAGGCCGAAAAATATTTTGGGTTTTAAGAATAATTCTTTCTTTACATTCAAGGATCTGGGAGAAAAGAAAGGAAAACGAAGAAGAAAGAAAGAAAAATAATACGAAAACAGATCATAGGCGAGCACACACGCACGGCTGACAGATAACAGGTGTCGAAAATCATCAGGTCAAGATTCTGACTGATTTCCGCGGATCCGCGAAAAATGGAAGTTTGTTATCAATTGGTTTTCACCCAAGGGAAAAGAAAGAAACGAGGAAAAGGAGAAACGAAGTTTAGGGACAATGAAAATATTGATAAGTAACAAGTGGGAAGTGTGTCATTGGAATGATAGTAAAGGTCTAAGTGGGTGGGGAAGTGTATCTAAGGATATGAAGACAAACCATTAATACGAAAACATAGACAGTCTCCAGAATTAGAAAAAGCCCACACAAGGTGGTCACTGGCAATAAAGATTTTTATTATCAGACCTTCGAGCGGAGGGAAAATGAAATATTTTTATTCCGTTTCAGAAACGCCAACGAGTCTGAGAAATTCCTTTCTTAGATCATATCCAATTAGCGATAAACTGCTTGACAAATACCACGTGTTAAAAAGCCGAAGGTGTCATCTCAGTCGCTCATGATAAGGGCGATTTAAATTAATATTTTTGTTTTTTAAGCAAGGTATTTATTTCCCAAAACAAAGCCACGGATTGTCCACGCCCGACTAAAGACGTCATTGGCTAAATAAGATCACATGACACTCGAAGGAGGAGGAAAGATACCCGACCAGGACCTCATTGGCCGAGAGCGGTTACGTGACGCACGAGGAGAATCGGTCGACGCCCCTGTCAGAAGTGTAAGTGTAAGGAGCCGATACGAAGAAACGGGGAAGCGGATACACGCCCCTCAGAGGCACAGTAAGGGAGTGGGAGTGAGAGAGTTACCGAAAATGGAAAAGAATGAAAAATCCCTAACCAGAAATAAGAAGGGTGGATACGTATTTAGAATTATCGAAGAACCCCCTGGCGCCGACAGACCTACCCCAGTTTTGACTGCGTCAATAAAAAGCGAGACCCCAAACCGACAGAAATCAGAGTTCAGCCGCGGACGGCAAGCGGAGGAAACCGCGGACGGCGGCCTGAGTTCGGTCGCCCACTTTGCGGGGCAAGAGAGGCCAGTTCGTTTGGCCTAAGGAAGAAGTTCGTCGAAGAGAATAAATTAGTTCGCGCACCGACGGCGGAGATGAGTGACCAGTAATTCAGACTCCGAAGAGAAGAAGTTAGTTCGCGCACCGACGGCGGAGATGAGTGACCAGTAATTCGGACTCTGGAGAGAAGAATTTCCGTTCGTTCGACCCAAGCCGAAGAGAAGAAGTTAGTTCGCGCACCGACGGCGGAGATGAGTGACCAGTAATTCAGACTCTGGAGAGAAGTTCAGTTCGTTCGACCCAAGCCGGAGAGAAGAAGTCAGATTGAGCCGCGGACCCTGGCGAGAAGTTTTGAACCTTGGACGACAAGCAGAGATGAGCGCCCAGTGTTGAAACCGCGTCAAGATAGCTGACCAAGATTCACGCACACTTCTGGACTCTTCTTCAACCAAGAACAAGTAGTTTGAAGAGCGACTTAGAATCAGACCACAGAAATAAGTTTTTTTCGACTTTCGTCCAAAGACACACCGAAACACAAATTTCTTAGAGAGCAGACAACTTGAAGCCTTAAAGTTGCCTAGTAAAAGCTTCGTGCCACAAACCACAGAACGAGTCGGGAAGTAGACATAGTCCTATGTACCGAGCAAATAGACATAAAAAGTTTGTTACCTATTTCTTTGATACGTTGGACCTTTTGAGTTTTTATTTTATTTTCTTTTATACATAATTGTGTGTTATCACCCCCGTTGGACTCAACTTGCATTACGGCCCCAACCCCTGTTTGATCTCGTCTGTCTAAGATCAATTCACAACGTGGGTAGGCAGACTGGAGATCAGTGCAGTTACCCTGGTAACCAGGCGTTGGAAGCGGGTTGGGAACGGCGAGGCTGGTATCAATCTAACCAAAGGGTTAGAACGTCACGTTTGGAGCAGCGAGGAGCGAACAGCAGCCGCGGCGAAGACGTCACAGTTGGTGCTGTCCGTGACCAGGATATCAGAGCCTGTGGAGCACGTGACGTCACAATTGGGGCCGCGACCGGGATCGAACGACACAGTCGACGCTGCGACCGGGGGACGACGTCACAAAATCCATATTTTTTTAAGGCTTTATTGAAATTTTTTTTAAGTTTCCACATGTCCTCCATCATTAGCAAAACAAAGGGTAATACGATTTTGCAGTTCACAGAAAAAAGTTGCCAACTGATATAGAGTAATGGCTGAAATCACATTCGTTACTTTAGTTATATTCAAACCTAGGTACATTAAACTTTATAACATTTTTTACAGATTATTTCTACCGTAAATACAAATGAAGTTATAAAGTTTTTAAAGTACACACGAACTTTATGGACAACCTGTATATCACAATGATAAAACTGGTCAATAAATGTTTAAAACTAACTATACTGCGACTGATACATGCAAATAAAAGTAACCCATAGTAATATTTTCACTTTTGAAATCATATTTATTTTTAGTATATGAATATTTTAAAACTGTTTCTAAATTTTTAATTGCTTTTTAATCATTCCGCCTCATCTGCTATCCTCTTCCGCCTCATCGGCTACCCTCTTCCGCTTCACCTGCTATCCTCCTCAGCCTCAACTGCTATCCTCCTCAGCCTCAACTGATATCCTCTTCCGCCTCACCTGGTATCCTCCTCCGACTCAACTGCTATCCTCTTCCGCCTCACATGGTATCCTCTTCCGCTTCACCTGCTATCCTCTTCCGCCTTACCTGCTATCTTCTTCACCCTCACCTGGTATCCTCCTCCGCCTCACCTGCTATCCTCTTCCGCCTCACCTGGTATCCTCTTCTGCCTCACCTGCTATCCTCTCCCGCTTCACCTGCTATTCTCTTCCACCTCACCTGCTATCCTCCTCAACCTCACCTGCTATCTTCCTCCGCCTCACCTGCTATCCTATTCCACCTCACCTGCTATCCTCTTCCGCCTCACCTGGTATCCTCCTCCGCCTCACATGCTCTCCACTTCCGCTCACCTGGCATCCTCCTCAGCCTCACCTGCTATCCTCCTCAGCCTAATCTGCTATCCTCTTCCGCCTCACCTGGTATCCTCCTCCGCCTCACCTGTCATGCTCCTCCACCTCACCTGGTATCCTCCTGCGCCTCACCTGCTATCCTCTTCCGCCTCACAAGGTATCCTCCTCAGCCTCACCTGATATCCTCATCCGCCTCAACTGGTATCCTCCTCCGTCTCACCTGCTATCCCCTTCCGCCTCACCTGGTATCCTCCTCAGCCTCACCTGCAATCCTCTTCCGCCTCACCTGCTATCCTCTTCCGCCTCACCTGGTATCCTCCTCTGCCTCACCTGCTATCCTCTTCCGCCTTACCTGCTATCCTCCTGCGCCTCACCTGGTATCCTCCTCCGCCTCACTTGCTATCCTCTTCCGCCTCACTTGCTATCCTCCTCCGTCACACTTCCTATCCTCCTCCGCCTCCCTATCCTCCTCCTCCCACTATCCTCACCTGGTATACTCTTCCGCTTCACCTGGTATCCTCCTCAGCCTCACCTGCTATCCTCCTCCACCTCACCTGCTATCATTAGTTACATTAATTATAATCACTTTCTTTTTTCTTTATTATCATTATCAAAATATTTAGTCGTTGTGCCTTACGGGCTTCTTCAAGATCACTGTTGATCTGGTTAACCGTCAGAGATTTTCGATATATATATATCGATATTAGACATTAGTTCCATTTCATCCTCAAGTGAATTTTCGCTTGAGGATGAGATGGAACTAATGTCTTTAATTTAATTACAAATTTAAATTCAGGGCTTTTAGCTTCCATTTTTGAAACATGATTAGAACTGTGTAGCGAAAAAACCGTATTTTAAATCAATTATTTATAATATTAATGCTCTGTAAATTTACATCGAGCACTATTTTTTGTAAAAAATATATATATATATATATCTATAAGAACACTGGATTAAATATTTTACTGTTCTTTATTTATATATATATATATATATATATATATATATATATATATATATATATAGTAGCGGCCACTATATAAAAAACGGAAACAACAAAGACATAAATATGTGTATTACTTAAAAAGTAATGCATGATTAGCAATGGAATTTTTACCGAATAAAGATTAGGGTGTAACGCATAAATATATAAAGTTACAAAAATTTACATAATAGTTTATTTTTTAAAAAGTAAGATTAAATGGAACAAAAATAATAATCAACTGGACAAAAGTTAAAGAACGATGTTAATAATGTGCATAAACTTATAATTTACATTGTTAAAAAACTCGATGGAGCTTTTCAACAATAAGTAAAAGCTCATTTATCATTAGGACTTTATTTTTAAGCAATATGGCAAATTCTACACGCAAAACGCTCTCTTTTAATATTTCTTACGTGATTTTATAATTTCTGAGTAAACGTATGTTCTTTTTAGATATATATTTTACAAATTATAAAATGTATTGTTTCTAAGTCTACTATAAAAAAATATATGCGGTTGATTTTTGTTTATTTGTCCATGTAGACCTGGGGAAAACTCTAAATCAGACGTGGTACTACTTTCCTCAAGACTTCCAATCTCCCGATCATAGTCTTTGCTGCCGGATGAAGTTTGTCGTTCGTCCTGAGTATGACGATAAACTACATCCGCGTCCAGGGTAAGACGATAAACTTCATCCACGTCCTTTTCTGACAAAAATATTTCCTTATGAAAGGGTAGATATTTGACTCTTGTAAATTTTTGTGAGCATAATAAAAATGTAACAACAAATATAGATAAAATATTCGTTAGTGACATCATCCCCATCGAACAGATTAAATAACCAGTATACCGAAAATATTTACAAAAGCCACCTGTAACTGGAGAAGAGCGTAGAAATGCCCACCTCATTGAAACTGTCTACGAAATAATTTAATTTACATAGCTCTGTAAAATCAAACAAATAACATATTCCTTGAAATAGAAAGTGAGTTGTGGAGGCACTACAATATACTGAAAACGCGGACTTCTGATAGACATATACATGTTTTTTATATTAGTAAATTTGCTTAAATTTGGTGATCGTATGGGGATATGATGTGGTCGTAACCCTGCATCGACAAGATGCGTGAAAATGCGATATCTGGAAAACGATGAAACTGACATAACTCAAACCAAAACACCTATGATAAAAGTGATCATGACGGCTGAAATTACTCAGAATATTGATACATTATATTTCAGTGTTTGGAAATATAAAACAATATTTTAAAATCCGTAAGAAAGAACTTGATCTTTCGCCCTCTCGGACTAACGTTCTTAGCTTACATGAAATGGAAAGCCTATATTGAATCCAATGCTAGGTCAGCTGATAAGAAAGTCTGTTCACTGTGTTGGGCGAAACAATTATTCACTCCAATATCTCACATATCTATGTCTACCATTTCATCCTTGCTTAGAAAATTACTTTCGCACATGAGCCAGTACACCTACAATTTGCCTTAATAAAATCCAAAGAAGAATCAGCATTATTACTCGTCCTGATTTGGCGGCTCGGCTTCAGTCACTTTCTCAACGCTGTAAGCTTGCCTCTTTGTGTCTTTTCTATAAATGCTTTCATAGTAATTGTTTGAATGCGCTCCTTGCTATGGTACCTAGATTTTTTGAATTTATGCGCTGTACTAGACTGGAGTCAAAATTCCGTTAATTTACAATTGTGTTGGCTAGATGTAGTCATACATTATATGCTAACAGTTTATTTTCTCGCATTTCTCGCTTGTGGAACTCATTTTCGATACAATTCTTTCTTGTCAACATTAACCTGCAAAACTTTACATGTAATGTCAATCGGTATCTACTGTCCTCATGATTACTCTTTTCTCTTCCCGCTCATTATTAATGTTTTTGTTCCCAATTCTTCCACATCCTGTAACACCTTGTATTTTAGTTAATTCCTTACATGAGTGATACAAGGTTAATAAAAATAAACAAAAATCATGTATGACTATATATAAAAAAAATCTTATGTGAATTAAACGATAAAAAAATGTCCTTTTTTTTGTTTATTCTCAGGTATTGGAAATCTGAAATTTCTATCTATAAAAGGCAGGATGTGTGTGTGTGTGTGTGTGTGTGTGTGTGTGTGTGTGTTTAACGAATGTACGGCCGCAATTTTCGACGGATTTGCACCAAAATTTACATGCACATGCTCCAACTTAGGGGGTAGGCCAAAACCGACTTTGCATTTCCAAACTCACATCGATAGTGGAAATAATCGATTTTTTCATGCTTCTACGGCAGTTTTCATGTCGTTTGCGGCCATTTTGTACTGGCCAGAGTGAGAGCCTATAGCTGGCTGCTACGAATAGGCAAGAAGATTCCACTGGCCAGCGTGAGAGCCAACAGCTGACTGACACGAATGCTAACTAGCATGCTAGCATGCAAAAATATCGATGGCTGCATTCGTCACAAGTGGAAAAATTTAAATATACATGGCACTTTACTCCAATTGGCTCATTCGCTTGCTTAAACTCAACGTTGATTCTGATTCCGCAGAACTGGGTTTGGCTGTGAAAAAGTATTTGTTGTTAACATTCTTTTTTCATTCGGTTTTTCCAGTTACGAGTCCTTTTTTAAAGCTGATCGTTTTGTGTTCATTTTGATTAGTTCTTTTTTCGTAACAGATTTAATGTTTAGTATAGAGCTTAGAAAAATTTGTAGTGTGAGATAGGCAAGAAGTAAGGCATGTAGCAACACCAGCACGACAAAGGGCACTCCTTTAAAGGCAACGAAGGGCAAAAGTATTTTAAGTCAAGTGATAGCGATTGCTGTATGAGTCATACGATTTTTGAATCAAGTACGGTCAACGCCGGGCCATGCTGCTAGTGGTGACTATTTCTGTCTGCTTTTCACCAGACTTTAACATTTATATGAATTAGAAACTGATCATGTATTTTACCATCACATTCTGGATCCTTCTCTTAGTCTGAAACGAGAGATACATATGAATACTGAACATTTTATTGTTTGCTGAACTTTTAAGTGAATATAAAAATCTCTTGTTTTTCTGTACTTGCTATTGACAAAATGCCAAATGTGTACCCAATTCAAGGTCAGGCTTTGTATCCGATAAAATTCTTCTGTTAGAAAGCATATATTAACTTCGATTTCCTTACCAGTTCCCAGCTCATATTTATGTTGTCTACATGAAGACATGCCTTGGTCGGGAATATTATTGTTTTTTAGATTAGTTTACCGTTTTACCGCCCTTTTCTTCATTTCCCGCGAAAATGACGTTCTTATTATGTTCAGTGGTGAAAATTTAACAAGGCCGCTACTATTGGAGAATGCACATTATATCCAAACATGTAATCATGTTGAACGATATTGAGATGTTGATGACGGTGATGATAGGTTGGGAAAATCGTTAGCGGGCGTGGAAGTGGGAGTGATATTCTGAAAGGAGACGAGCGAAGTTCGTTTAATGACAGGAAAATTGAGTTGCAAACGACTTTAAATGAAAAGAAAAAGAGACGAATAAATTGAAGCAATGCAAAATGATTGGGGGGGAAAAAGAGTAGCCTCTTTTTTTTTCTGATTTATTCGACAATATAAAGGGTCGATTGACAAGCGAATCTCCACCGTTTAAATAGACGAACATTAGAAGACAAATTAATTTTGCACATAAAATGGCCGTCCGCGATATATTTTGTTTTTATTTTATTTTTTTTCTCAATGCAAGTGGTTTTGGTATTTAAATTTATTTTTGTTATTTTATTGTAGAAAATTGCTTTTTTTAAAAAAAAGTTTGTTTTTTTTTTCTTAAGGTAAATTCAGCAGTTTTTACTTATTTTGATATTTTAATTTATTCTTGTTTCTTTTTTCTAAATTTTTATATCCTTTGCATTATATACGTGCGTTATTAACTTATTGGCTGCGGCTAAGTTTTGATGATAGAGGCAATAGCTTTTTATCTTTATTTCTTTTATTTTTGTTTTATTTGTTTTTACTGGATAGGCAAACAAGTTATGGTTGGTCTGGTTGTTTTCTTTAGCGGCATATCAACATCTTTATGGGTTATTTAATGTCGAAATCTGAATATTTTGACCAAAATTTGTATTTTTTCAGATAATAATCGTCTAAGTGATGCTAATTAAACCATACCTAGAGGAATAAAAGGTAGATTCATACATTTCCCGGCGGGGTGGGGAATTGTTCCTAAGTGAATATAACTAATTGATGCTAATTAACCCATAGCTAGGGGGATAAGGTAGATTCATACATTTCTCAATGGGAATAGTTCGTAAGCGAATATAACTAAGTGATACTAATTAACCCATAGCTAGTGGGGATAAGATGTAGATTCATACATTTCCCAAGGAGATTTTTGCATAATTGAATATAACGAACCCAAATGGAATTGGAACTCGTCTCTCAGATTAACGACGATTAACAATCTCGAACCATAATTCATTAGCCCAAGCGCACATCCAAGCTTAAAGTACTGGTTATTCCCAAGCGGTCACCCATCTACCTACTGATTTGGCTTGACGTTGCTTAAGTGATAGTACGGAAACTTGTGTTTCGACGAAACAATTTACAGAAATGGAGTTTCAGCCAACACAAATGTGGCATTTTGAC